TTTACAAGATTTAGTTAATAAAATTACAATTTTAATAAAATTTTCCTATACAATTCAATTATTTTTAATACAATTCTTCTTAAGAATTCAATTATTTAAAAAAAATTGGAATAAAGTTCTTCGCAAGAAATCAACCATTTTCATAAATAATAAAATTTTTTTGAGAATTAAATTATTTACAAAAATTTTGTGATAAAATGTTTTATATAAAATAAAAAAATTATAATAAAATTGATTATAGAATACAATTATTTTCGTAAAATATAACATTCTTCCTAGAAATACAATTATTGTCAAAAATGTTTGTAAAAATCTTCTAAACAATTCAATTATTTTCGTTAAAAATAAAATTCTTCGAAACAAATTAATTATTTAAGAAATTTTAATAAAATTCTTCCCAAGAATTTAATTTTTCTCAAAAATAAACATTTTCAAAGAAATTCAATTACTTATAGTTAATGAAAAAATTTTTTTAATTCTTTGTCAGTTTTCAATTATTTTCAATTTTTTAATGAAATTTCTCAATAGAATTTAATTATTTTTAAAAAATTTAAAAAAATTCAATTATTTTTAAAAATTTGAATAAAACTTTTCACAAGAAATTAATTATTTCCATAAGTAATAATATTTTTCTCCAGAATACAATTATTTTTACAAATAAATTTTTTCATAGAAATTCAATTTTTTAATAAAATTTGTTGCAAGAATTTAATTATTTTCTCATCTTAAATTTATTATAAAACATGAAGAAATCGATCGATTTCTTCCTGTTTTACAATAATATTCTCATAAGTTATTAAATTTCAAAAGGTTTGAATTTTTAAAAAAAAAGAATAGATTTCATCATCGTTTGTATTTAATGGTTTTCGGGGTCGTTGATTACGAATACTATGCCAGTTTTTCAAAATTCAAAATGGCGAACGAATTTTAAAAAATGTTGGATTCTTGTGGAACTCGGTATTTGGGGGATTTTTGGGTCGCTGATTACAAATTTAAAGTTCGTTTCCCAAAATTTTTAATTGATTTTAAATTTGTAAACAAGTCCCAAGCAACAAGTTTTAAGCGAAATTGAATCAAGTTTTTAAAAAGTTGTCCGCCATATTGGATTCGCCATTTTTAATTTTGGAAAACTGATATCATAGATGTAATGTGCGATCCGGAAACCCCCGAATAACGAGTTTCACATAAATCTGATGAAATTAAAAATTAAAAAAAGTTACGCTACTTGACGGTAGCGGTTATAATAATATCTGCAGTTAGCCTACGTAATGCCAGTACCACGCAAATACCCAAATTCTACATTTGGTAATGATGCAGTACCCAGTCGATCGTCAATTTCCACCTAAGATACAAGATAATTGGAATTTTCAGAAAGTGAATATGAAATTGGCTGAAAAAATAAAGTAGAAGAATATGAGTGAAGCATTCATATAAGGTTCATGATAAATAATCTCTTGATCTGGTCATTAGTTATTCGCTTCTTTGGATTGTTTATTGCGTATCGGTCGAAACTTTATCCTTCTTCGTAACTGCAACATTGTGTTAGTATCTCATCTTCGGAGAACTTAGAGTTACTAGGAATTCCACGTGCTCGTTTGCAAGCCAGAACTTTACGTGAAGAGTGGAACGTGCCAACTCACATACTTTATTATACTTTGAGATAAACATAACCAGATTCGAAAATAATTTTTTCTGGCGTTTTCTGCGAATTAGAGACAGAGGAATTTGCTTATGAATTTTTTATTTAAGCGTTCATTTCAATTTGTATAATTAAGGGACTAACGTGCACGTATAAGCTTCATCCCTACTATCTAATTTTCAGGACCGTACTTATAGTTTTACTGTCCAGGATGTTATTAGTTGCATCGATAGCAAAATTCATAATTAGAGTACTAGCAACAATACTTCCAGAAGCAATAACATTCATTAACTTCTTCTTATTCTTCTCCTTCACCTTCAATGTCATCTTCAATTCACTTTTCGAAAATCTCGTCAAAGAACAACAATTTTCACCCATACTTATCAGCTTCAAGCCATGAAATCGTTGATACACTTCAGATAAAATACCAAATGTTAAATTACTAAGTGAGAATTTTCATTCAAGTATTTTCCTGATTCATTGTGAAGTATGAATATCAACTCGTATTTAAATTAAAAATACTTAATTTTTACAACTTCCGTTGATGTTTGAAAGTGGTAGATCTTAAAGCCTCTTTCCTGATTTCAGGACAGGCAGGTGTGTTCGATCAGCCAGTTCATTATTGGTCTGTGAGCCTGAGGTCTTGAAAAAAGCTAAAAAAAACTATTCCCATCATCGGCAGTGACCGGTTCAAGTCAATGTAGTCTCTTACCGAAAGGGTTTCTCCCCCAATTCCAAATTCGTCTTGTGCTCTACCTCAATTTTCCTGCTTCTTTAGCTGTATTCTAGAAAACTTCCGTAAATTAATTCCTTATACAGATTCAAATATTTCATCTACATTTATCGATAATTCATACGTTATTATTAAAATTAATAATGGACGTCAACGATTTATTGATTCCCAGAAAAATACTCCTTATAATATCCATCAGAAATGTATCAGAATCCTAATTGGAATTCCGACCGAAAAATATAATAGTATCAACACTGCAAAAACTGGTATCTCACTTGTGTCTTAAAATGAGTTGCTTTAAGTGTTTAAACCATTGAGATACAAAATCTGTTTTATATTGAGACATTTAATTTCATCTCGTGTCTCATTTTAAGACATTAAAGGTAACTCAATGCGTATAAGACACGTAAAACGTCTTCTTAGTGTGAGACGGATACTCGAAACACATTTCGTGTCTCAAAATGCATTGCTAAATGTGTAAGACACTTTGAAACGTCTTAAAATGAAACACATATCTGTTTCAAATATATGGACTAAGACATTTTATGTGTTTCAAATATGGGACAAAACGTCTCAAAATGAGACACTTGTTTTTACAGTGAAGTTTTAAGCCATATACAACTTATTAATATGTTCTTTTTTTAATTAGTTGGGGTAATACGCACAGTTTGAGTATACTCCGTAACTTGTGATTTAAATAGTGTTGTTAACCTAATTATGGATTTCACTTCCTTCGTGTTGTGTTTAGACTAAACTAAATTAATTTTCTTTTTTGCTTCGAGTTATTACGAAACTAAATTCATTCATCGACTTTTGTTTTTGGATCATACCAAAACTGAAACGAAAGTAACTTTTAATTTAGTTTCCTTTCTCTGACGGTCCTTGGAAATCTGGGACACAGTTTCTTGTAATAGCTGATGCTGAGTTGAGTTCCACTGCTTGTAGATGGTCATTTGTAAAATGACTTACATAAAGGATCCAACTTAGTATACTACTGGTATAATCAAAAGTAAATTTTTACAGTCATATGTATTGGGACTATTGGTAGGATAATGTAGTTATTTTATTTTTTTTAAGTTTATAATTGAGGAACTGGGTTTTATAAGGCGATACTCGTGAAAGTAGAAGGCCTTGCATAGAGCGAATCTGCTGCTGCTCGAAGGGACATCGAAAATCGTGGGCGTCCCCTTACAAAATTACTACATTAATCATAATTACTGCAAATAACAATCGACCAATGGACACCAAAAATACATCAAAAGAACCAAATTTATGAGATATTTACCAAAATTTGATGCAAACTTGCAATGCTAATTTTTTAACATTAGAGAAATGATGTGCCCACTGGGATTATTTAAAAAATTTAGAAATCTGTGGTAAAGTATATCATAGATCAAGAGTGTGAGTGAAACACTTATTGCATGATTGACAGAATGCAGTCTTACAATATATTCACTCTGATTATAAATTTAACATATATATTTATTTTACTAAAATATCTCATTTTGAGCTATTTTACAACTGTATTTCAACTCTTTAGGTATGTACCTTTTAAGCATCAGAATATGAATACCAAATTCAACACTGTTCGTTCTTGAGCACCTGTGTTACCCGAAGTACAACCCAATCATTACGGAAGAATGTTGCCCGAGGGCCAAAATCAAGTCCCTTCGTGAAACCAACTAACCTGTAGTAAACAGAAGCGGTTACGAAGATAAAAACAACTATTTCATTTCTTTTTTGTATTTACATATATATGGAATAATAATAAATAAAAGAAATAATCCTCCTTGTAAAGAATTGACAACATAAGGCACTTTTTAAATAATTATTTCTCTTATTTAATAAAACCAAACTCTATTTGTTATTAGCTGTTAAAATAGGAAAATTTCTTAACTTTACGTTGGTAAAAAGAATTTTTTTTAAATAATATAATTTGTTTAAAGCATTAAGCTTATAGAAAAATATATTTTATAAGCATTTGAAAGGTTCAAGTGTGCTTAAATGATGATCTAATTATCGAACAAATCAGCATTATTTGTTCTTTCAAAATTTTATGAAATTAAAAACTTTATATTTTTTTGAAATATTTCTTAAATTATTTTCATTTGCAGATCTTTTTAGTAAATGTATATACAAAAACAGTATACTTCTTTTTAAAAAAGCTTTTTTTTTAATATTTATTGTTTTCGTCTCTGATTGCAAATAAATTTTTAATGTTATTTAAAAAACCAATTTCGCTCTGTGTAAGAATGGTTCTCTATTTCTCATCTTGGACATTTTAATCTTTCAAATGCTTATCGAATTATAGTATTTCTCAAAATAGTTACAAGATTTTTCTTGTAACTATTTATTGTTATTTCATTAATAACAGTTAATGATTCAGAGCTTCTTACAAAATAGAAAGCAAACTTATTTGGTAGAAATTTGCCAAGAAACTTCTATTTGTCAATTTTCAATATCTTGCATTGATTATATTAAGAATAAAATCCTATTTACTTTCATTTGTTTGCTTTTAATTTTTAGAGAAAAAAGATTGTTTGAACAATTCTCCAATCATATTAGAAGTAATATAAAAATGTTCTTTTTACTAAAATTTAATCTGCAATATTATGTCTATTATTTCAGATGGCGAATATTTATTTGTGGATTCCGAAAATAAATTAAACAAGTACGCTCCAAAAAATTGGCGAAGCTCTCACACATACGTAAGAAACTCGATCATTTTCCATTTTACCTATCTATTAAAGTCTACATATACTATTTCGTGGCTATCATTAGGATTCTAATCATATATTACTGTTGTTTAAATATTTCGTTTTTGCTTGAAACTAAGTTTTGAATTTATTATATTATACGTACCCATCCGATCCCTGTAGGCAAGTGAACTGCAATAAATGCATATCAATGTTTGTATCGGCAGTGAACGTTTGTTTAAAACCAGCTATTTATTTACATTAAAGATTAGATAGATCGAGTATTCGGTACCCTATAATAGCATTATTGTCTGATGCGGCCAATCATCAATTACTTTGTTTATCAAGAATTCAAATTCGGGTTTAAATATTATTTAAAACTTTCAATTCTATTGGGATTTTTTAATACCATCTCTAATCTCATTGTTTTTAGAATTATACTTTTTTAAAATAGATTGACCTGCTCGAGCTAAAATCAGAATATGCTATTAACTCAAATAAGTTGACGAAGTTTTTATCTATTTCGTTAAATGGTTTCAATATATTTCAATCCACACCTCATCTGTTTTAGTAGCAATTGATAAGGCTACTGAGTATAATTTAAACATTGAAGTAAAAGCGAAGACTAAAGAAAACTTTACAATGAATATGTAGAAGAAGAAGCTGAACTGTAAATTATTAAGTTACTTATTCTAATTATAATTTATAAAAATATAATTATGCAGATTAGGGTGACACTCCTACTTTCTATAGCGATGAATCAAGCGGAATTAATCCAATTGATTCCCAAGAAAACGTTCACGCTGTATGGCAAGCAGATAAATTTGATATCGGGAAAGCAGATCGAAATTCTTTAGATATGATAACACTAAAAAATAAATAAATATTAGATTTTAAGATTAGACCTATTAGAACAATTCTTCTTTGAACAAAACAGAAATTACCTCTAAGGGCAAAAATTAGTGACCTAAAGAAAAATATGGAAAGTTTCATGCGTCAAGCTTAATCAGTTCAAGCCCAACGCGAGTTGTGTAAAAAACTCCAATTCACTCGAGCACTCAAATAGTTCGAGTACTAAAGTAAATTCGAATACTCGTCGCACATGTTGTAATTAGTAAATTGAAAAGTTAATTACTTTATTGATCCGCTATATAGAATGAATTTCGAAATTTTTTAGCTATTAATAATTTATTAATAATTTGAATACTCGAAGCCCTTCGAGAATTCGATTCCACTCGGAGTGGATTCACTACCTATTTTTCAAAAAGTTAAATCCACTGAAAAATATTTCAGAATTACCACACGGAGAGAAAAATCTATCTTTAATAGTATGACACTATCTATACTAATTTCGCATGGACTATAGTCACGCTTCAAACGCATGAAAACATACCGAAAAACCATGGTGAAGCGTGGACCCATGGGTTTTGGGTATGAATTCATGCGTTTGAAGCGTGACTATAGTCATGCGAAATTAGTATAGGTAGTGTCATACTATTAAAGCTAGATTTTTCTCTCCGTGCATACATACTTATTCCTTGCATTCACACTTTAATACAGTCAGAACAGAATTTGATGGACAGATTTCTTAAAAACGAATATATATTTAACCAAGTTTTGAATTGCTTCATACAGTAATCTGAAACTTTTTTTTAAGGAATATGTAAAAGTATCTCTAAAATTTGTTTACCTCTAAAATAAATATACTATGTAAATTATCTAATTTAAATCCAAAATATTTTTGAATTTATTGGCATTAGTCCACAATTGGTTTAGAATATCAAAAATAATCATACAACATTTTCTGAATTTTTTCGATTATACTGATAAAATCTTTTTCCATATTGAAAAAAACGGTGATATAATCTAAAATTTTATTTAATGTCCTCAAAAAATAGTGTTTTTGTTTAATTTATCATGCCTGTTTAAGGGAGAGAGGGAAAGCAGATTTTTTCAAATATATCCATAAAATAATTTAAATATTCCACAAAATTATTTTTAAGGTAATTTTATGTGCGAAATTCAATGGCCATAAATAAAATCTGTTAGAAAATATTTTGACACCTTTTGAATATTTATTTTTCTTAAAAATTGGTAAATTTTTAAATCTATGGGTCATTTTGTAGAAAATATGTTTTATACTCCACAAAAAAAACTTGCCAAATGTAAAATTTGTTTTTCATCATTTTTGAAGCATTTTTTTAAATCTGCTTTTAGGCTAAGAATGTTAAAAAATACCAATATTATTCAATTTCTTTATATAAAAATTAATTTGTGTATCTTTCTAACTAATTTCAGATCCTAATTTTATATATAAAAAATAAAAGATATTAAAAAATTATGATCCGAAAATAGTTAGAAAAATAAACGCAAATGAATTTTTAAATTAAAAAATTGAATAATAATGATATTTTTTAACATTTTCAGAGTAGAAACAAAACAAAGATTTTTTTTCAAAAAAATGCTTCAAAAATTATGAAAATCAATTTTTTTTATTTGGCAATTTTTTTGTAGATTAGAAAACACATTTTCTACAAAATTACGCATGGATTTCAAAATCTACCGCGATTTTTAAAAAAAATAAAATTTCAAAAAGGCTAAAAATATTTTTTGACTGAATAATTTTATGTAATATTTAAATTATTTTCTTGATATGGTTAAAAATATCAGTGTACCCTCCCCTTAGCAGATATAAATAGTTTTTTCAGAATAAGTTTTAAATATATAAAAAAAAATTGAGAAAATCCATGCATTCATTAAGTAAGAATTCAAAATTTTTTCTTTAGTTACACATTAAACGGTTTTCATGTTTCTATAAGATGAAAGAGGAAGAAAGAGTTAAATGAAGTATATTTTAAATTTTAGAATAAATTCTTTTTTGGAAGTTTCTAATTTCTTTTATGAATGATATAAAAAAATGACATCTTTTTACTTAAAATACATCTTTAATATGTTTTTTTCAATTATTTTAATATTCTTAGCTTAATATAGTTATTTTTACGTTTAATCTAAAAATTAATTTTTTAATCAATTTTTAGGGCTTGGACAGCAGTGGAAGGCCAGCTTTTGTTCTTTATTTTCGTGTCCGTTACTATGTTGATACTCCTCTTTTATTAAGGTGAGAAAAATTAATAAACTATTTATATTAAACTTTTTTTTAAATAACAGTAGAAAACTTTAAAGGAACTGATAAAATGAATTAAGTGATATAGAATAATAAATCATATAAATTAATGATGTTTCTAAATTCATATTGAGTTAATTCATTTCATAAGATTGCTACCAACAGTAGGGTGTCCGTTATTTCCCAAGTTAGCTATTTTCATTTGGGTATCGTCAAAATCGTTTCTTTTTGACATAAAAACAATTCTAGAAACTAGAAAAAAATTTTACGATGCCGTTTAACCCTGCCTAAATAACAATACTTTTCCCATTTAATTAACATGGGATTTTTGCACTTTTTAGAAAATAATTTTTATTTCGTTTATAATACTCTTTGACTAACCAACAATGCTTGATTTTGCTTCTATTATGATTCCTTTAGATAGAGAAATTTTCATATTATCGCGAAAAATTTATTACACAAGTTTTAAAAAGGTCAATTTCATTTTTATTGATTTTTCTGATTATTTTTCTAAATCTATTTATTAATTAACTTTTATTCGGTATTTCATTGAAAGTTTCTTGTTTTATGCATCCAATTAGACCATAACAATAATTTCAATTCATAAATTATCCAAGAATCACACAGTAGACTAAATCCATTTCAAATCAGGCAGGTCGACTAACTTCATATGTTATAGAAAAAAAATTGTTTTGCTTGTCATTTTTTTTCTTTCGAGTATAATTATATTTTCTTTCTTGGGTCTTGTAGATGGTCTTGTCCTCTTCACAATCCAGTTTGAAATTTGAAAAAATATTTTAAATTATAAAAATTGTGGATGATTTTCTGAAAATAAATAAGATCAATTTTCTCAAAAACACCACCTTTTTTGTTATCAAATTTTTACTACAAATTCTTAAAATAATTATGGACATTTCCTATGAATTTCAAGCGGGCTAAACCATTCTGGCAATTAAGAGAATTTTTTTTGAAAATAATTTATGTTTACAAATTTTCAAACTGTTAACGTTTACGTCAACAATGTTATAATGATTCATTTGTTTTAAAAAACGCAGGTTAACAATTTGAAAATTTGCAAAAATAAATATTTAAAAAAAATTCTCTTGTTTGACAGAATGGTTAAACCCGCTTGAAATTCATAGGAAATGTTCATAATTATTTTAAGAATTTGTAGTAAAAATTTGATAACAAAAAAGGTGGTGTTTTTGAGAAAATTTATCTTATTTATTTTCAGAAAATCATCTTCTATTTTTATAATTTAAATTTTTTTTCAAATTTCAAACTTGATTGTGAAGAGGACAAGACCACCTACAAGACCCAAGAAAGAAAATTAAATTATACTCAAGAGAAAAAAAATTACAAGCAAAACAATTTTTTTTCTATAACATGAAGTTAGTCGACATGCCTGATTTGAAATGGATTTAGTCTACTGTGTGATTCTTGGATAGTTTATGAATTGAAATTATTGTTGTGGTCCAATTGGATGCATAAAACAAGAAACTGAATAAAAATTAATTAATAAGTAGATTTAGAAAAATAATCAGAAAAATCAATAAAAATGAAATTGACCTTCCCAGGTAGATATTTGTCAAGTATTACTTGTTTTCTTCCAGCAGCTGTAGAGTCGAGAGCGAGTTTTACTTGCCAAGACAATCTGGCCAGTCCTGAATAAGTGACTGGTCAGTTTCACTGGATAAAAACAATTCCCCTTTGTGAACAGTACTTTTGTCAAGTCACTGACCAGAAAATCTTATCAAAATCGTGACAAGAATTTCTTTTTAGACACTGGCCAGTCATTGATTTAAAGAATTATTTAAGATTCCACCTAGAAAAACTATTCCACCACTGATCAGAAAAACTTGCCGAATTAGATATTAAAAATAATTTTTATGTTCCATACAGTCAAAAACAGAAAAGTCTAAAGTAACTTTATAAAAAAGTTATGATCGTTTCACTGTCACATTACCAAAGTTTACATTTTTCTAAATTTTGACAAGATAAGCCGTCAAATCTCTGACAAGTGACTAAACAGGGGCGCATGATTATTCCCCAAATGTCATTTTTCCGAAATGTCATTTTACCGAACTGCACTTTTGCGAATACTCATTTTTGCGAAAAGCCAATTTTGCGAAATGTCACTTTTGCGAATTGTCATTTTTTCGAAAAGCTATTTTTGCGAATTGTCATTTTTGCGAATCGCCATTTTTACGAATTGTCAATTTTCCGAAAAGTCATTTTTGCGAATCGACATTTTTACGAATTGTCAATTTTCCGAAAAGTCATTCTTGCGAATTGTCATTTTTACGAAAAGACATTTTTGTGAAATGTCATTTTTGCTAAAAGTCATTTTTACGAATTGCCATTTTTGCGAATTGTCATTTTTAAGAAATGTCATTTTTGCGAATTGTCACTTTTGCGAATCGCTATTTTTACGAATCGTCATTTTTACGAATTGTCATTTTTGCGAATAGTCATTTTTGCGAATAGTCATTTTTGCGAAAAGTTATTTTTACGAATTGTTATTTTTGCGAATTGTCATTTTTGCGAAAAGCTATTTTTACGAACTGTCATTTTTGCAAATCGACATTTTTACGAATTGTCAATTTTCCGAAAAGTCATTTTTGCGAATCGCCATTTTTACGAATTGTCAATTTTTCGAAAAGTCATTTTAGCGAATTGTCATTTTTGCGAAAAATACAATAGTGGATTTATAGACCTACAAGTTTTCTATTGTATTTTTCGCAAAAATGACAATTCGCAAAAATGAATTTTCGGAAATTTGACTATTCGTAAAAATGTCGATTCGCAAAAATGACTTTTCGGAAAATTGACAATTCGTAAAAATGGCGATTCGCAAAAATGACAATTCGCAAAAATGACTTTTCGGAAAATTGACAATTCGTAAAAATGTCGATTCGTAAAAATAACTTTTCGCAAAAATGACTATTCGCAAAAATGACAATTCGTAAAAATGGCGATTCGTAAAAATAGCGATTCGCAAAAGTGACAATTCGCAAAAATGACATTTCTTAAAAATGACACTTCGCAAAAATGGCAATTCGTAAAAATTACTTTTCGCAAAAATGGCTTTTCGTAAAAATGACATTTCATAAAAATGTCTTTTCGTAAAAATGACAATTCGCAAAAATGAGTTTTCGAAAAATTGACAAATCGTAAAAATGGCAAATCGCAAAAATGACTTTTCGGAAAATTGACAATTCGTAAAAATGTCCATTCGCAAAAATGACAATTCGCAAAAATAGCTTTTCGCGAAAATGACAATTCGCAAAAGTGACATTTCGCAAAATTGGCTTTTCGCAAAAATGACTATTCGCAAAAGTGCAGTTCGGTAAAATGACATTTCGGAAAAATGACATTTGGGGAATAATCATGCGTCCCGACTAAACAGTTTATCTGGTCATGATTTCTGATCATTACTTCTGACAAGTTACTGGCCAGAAATTCTGGTCACAATCGGAATAGAACTTCAGTTCTTAAACTTGTAGTTATGATAAGTTACTATCTAGTCACCGTGGCTGCATGGTAACGCACATGCGTTGTGTCTCCAGGGTCTATGGTTCGATCCCCCATGCGTGAGAATTTTTCAATCTTAGATTTAAGTGTTATTGGTAGAGTCTTAAATATTTAAATAATCACAAAAATATAAATAAATATGTAATTATAAACAAAATAAAAAGAGCCAGGAAAAATTATATTTTATTCTCGATTTTGAGCAGAAAACTGTCCAGTTACTGGTCAGTTACTTGCCAGTCACTGGCCAGATAATCTAACCAGTGACTGCTCAAGTAGCGCGTTACATTTCCAATCAATCACTTGCCAGATTTTCTGGTCAATTACTGCCCAGAATCTAGAAAAACTTCCCAGTGACTGGTCATTATAGAGTTGAAATTTCTACCTGGGTTTTTAAAACTTGTGTAATAAATTTTTCGCGATAATATGAAAATTTCTCTATCTAAAGGAATCATAATAGAAGCAAAATCAAGCATTGTTGGTTAGTCAAAGAGTATTATAAACGAAATAAAAATTATTTTCTAAAAAGTGCAAAAATCCCATGTTAATTAAATGGGAAAAGTATTGTTATTTAGGCAGGGTTAAACGGCATCGTAAAATTTTTTTCTAGTTTCTAGAATTGTTTTTATGTCAAAAAGAAACGATTTTGACGATACCCAAATGAAAATAGCTAACTTGGGAAATAACGGACACCCTAACCAACAGTCAACGATATTTTCTACGTAAGGCGTTCGGTTGATTTCGTTTCCCCAGGCAAAAGGGCAAATAACGGGTACAAGAAAAAGACGAGCAGACATACACATATACTGACGGAATTTCTAACCGTTCCTTACAGTTTCCAGCAGTTAAATACTAACCTAGAGATTATAAACTATAACATGAAATATAATATATTTCATAAAAATAAAAGTATGCAGTGCAATAAATTTATTTTTAATTTTCTTTAAACAAAATCGGAATAGCACTCTATTCTGAATAATTTTTTACTAAACGTGTTAAAACCAATCTTGATTGCTACAGCTTTAGAGATTTTACTGCATTGATTGTATTTAAAATTGCTAAACATGTAGGGTTTTAATAATTTCTACATTTAACAATTCTGTGATTCTAACTACCAGTAGAAAGTTGATTATCTAGGAACTCTATCAAAAATACCAGAAGGCATCTTGAAAACTTTTTTAGAAATCTTTTTTCATGAACGACAGTATAAGCACATGAATGAGCTTTAAAAAATAATAAAGCTGATGCTGATTGTAGGTATTTTTGAAATACTGTGACAAGTTTATTTTTTTGAATTAAACTACTTTCTCTTACTATTGCTCTCCTGGTTGTGAGATGCGAACGTGGTAAGTGGTATGACGCGTGGTTACTTGCTTTAGATAACACAATAAATTCTTAAAATCTAATTTACATAATTAATGATATTATATCTAGTAATCTTACCGTTTGAAATTGAATTTTTATGAAGGATCCTTTAAGGGCAAGGGTCCTGGTGGCATGTGGACTAACCAAAAAATTACATTAGTAAGAAAAGGATAGACATTTTTTCGTCCTTTTCTTACTAATGGAATTTTTTAGTTAGTCCACATGCCACCAGAACATTATTCAATGTATTAAATGTATTCAATTAGTAAATTAATTTTTAAATAGTAATTAAAAACATATTTGATACATTTATTACAAAAAGAGGGTAAATATGAGTCGCCGGAAAGTATATAACCACACATAAAATTCTGACCGCCATGCTAATAGTATGGGCGTCAGCATTTTATGTGTGGTTATATTTTCCAGCGTCTCATATTTAGGTGAGGCATTCTATTTGAATACATAAAGTATATTGTAAACAAACTCTAATGTAAGGCACTTTTTAAATAATTATTTCTCTTATTTAATAAAGTCAAACTATATTCATTATTGTCTGTTCTGTTAGGAAAATTTCTTAAATCTACGATGATACAATGAATTTTTAAAAAAATTATATAACTTGTATAATACTTATCAAATTTAAAAGATAAATTTTTGAATATCTCCAAATTTTTTTTTGAAATTTTGATATAGTTCTCTAAGAAAACTGAACGAAATTTAATGAATTTTTCAGTAAATGCTTATTGTTTAACAACAATTTAAAAAAATAATTAGTCGAAAACAAAATTTTTTTTAAATAAATAATTTTTAAAACAACAATTTTTTAAAAAGTGCAATTTGTTTGCTTTTAATAACAATGTTTCGATTCTCACTTATTTCATGAGTATTTAAAAAAAATTCATGGAGACTCTAAACCTCTCCAAGATATTGAATTTTTTGTTCTTGCCTTTCGTAGTTAAATTCCATAAAAAGTTAATAAAGAACAATAAAAATTGGTTTAAAAGCTGTTTAAACAATAATATCACTTTTAATCTTAGTTTGTATTTATAAAAGTTTGATGGTAAATTTGCAAAATTACCTAGAAAGATGCAGTCATCTTTCTAGGTACCCTTTTATAAAATAAATAGTAAATAACTATAATAATAATAATAATTAATTATTATTATATTATTAATAATAATATAATAATTTGTTTAAAACTTGTTTAAATAATAATAATTATGTTATTAATTAATAGTAATAATTTGTTTAAACAAATGAAAATTTTAAAAATGCACAATATTCTTACAAATTTAAATTATTTTTTAATTTATTTGTTTAAAAAAAATCTTTTCAACGAAATATATTTTTTAATTGTTGTTAAACAATAAGCATTTAATGAAAAATTCATAAAATTTCGTTTATTTTTCTAAGAGATATACCTATCTATAGCATTTTCAAAATTTCAAAAAAAGATTTAAAAACCCTCATAAATCTAAAATTTTTTGAAATTGCTTTCGGGATTTTTACTGTCACAAATTTCACCGCAAAATTTCAAAGTTTTAACAAAATCGAAGAAATAGGGGACAATTTTGAATTTTTAGGCATGGACTGACCCTACCATAATTTTTTTTTTAAATTAATATTTTTAAATTTTCTAAGTAGATCTCTTTAATAAAGCTTAAAATTTTGTTGATATTTGAGCTTAAAATTATTTTTAATTTTATATAAAAATGTTTAACTCTACATCACTATTAGTTTTATTTTATTTTATTCATTGAGAATTCGGTCATTTTCGCTGAATCGGAGTTTACATGCCATTAAAGTACGCCGTAAAATACTATTAATTTTTTTAGTTTTAAATCTAAATGCTATTTCTTTATGCAAATTTAACACAAGTACAACTTGTTAGCTTTGATAATATAAATAGTAAGTAAAATCGCACTAAAAATTTGAATAAAAATGATAAAAATCTATGAAAATGTAAATTTTGGTTCCGAATAACAAAATAGTAGGGAAAGTACATATTAAAAACAATATTTTTACACAAATTTATTGATGAAAATTGTAGAACAACACAAAAAAACTTAGTTTTAGAGATGAACTTTCGAATGGAATACATAAAAACACGATTAACATAAACTGTGTGTAAAATAAATATCCAGATAGCACAACAATTTGCAGAAAGTTTGCATTGCAAACTTCGCAAATTTGCATGCAAGTTTGCAGCAAATTTGTGGCAAATTGGTAAATGTCCGCCTTGTGTAAAGTTTGCTGAGCAAACTTGCTACAAGTTTTCACAGAAAACTTGCAGAAAAGTTGTAACAAACTTGCAGCAAACTTTCTGAAAACTTTAAAAATTTTCAAAAAAACCTTCTTGTATTCAAAATGTATGTCTTTTGTGAAATGTTGCCTTCCCTCTTAGGGAAGGTGACAAAATGTAGTGCGCAGCTCTATATGTCACAGAAAACTACTGCGCAGACATTTTAATTTACCTTGCTACGCAAGTTTTCTGTTTGCTCCGCAAACTTTTCACAAGGTGGACATTTACCAATTTGCCACAAATTTGCTGCAAACTTTCTGCAAATTGTTGTGCTATCTGGGTAATATTAAACTTTATAATTTTTGTGTGGAAAATTAAGAAAAGTGCATTTTTGAGCGATTCCAATTAAATCATATCTTCTATTTAAAAAAGAAAATTTTTTATTATGTATTAAAAACATAGTGAAGGTTAATTGTGCAAAAGTTTGAAGCAAATTTTTCGTCATCCGCAGTCAAGGGGTGAATAGAAAGACAGTTTTCATATATAATAATTAAATATTTTTTAAAATCCATATGCGACAAATTTTCTCAAGTAGTCAAATCGGGCTAAAATTTTCATAAACTTTACTTTAGTATTATCAGTGATTACTTTAACCATAAAATGTTATAAAATTTTATTTAACTGCACGCATAGAAAGGGTTTGCTGTGGCAGCGAACATTTTGCTGCCACAGCAAACCTTGTTCGTTGAAATAGGGACAGCAAAAAAGTTCGCTGTGAGATCAAACAAGTTCGCTATAACAGCAAACTCGCATAAATTTTTACTAATGTTTGCTGTCACAGCTAACATGTTTGCTGCCACTGCAAACTTCTTAGCTGTGGTAGCTAATTTTCAGAGATTTCACAGCAAACATCTGTTTACTGCTGCAGCTAATTTCTTTTTTTCCGTGTGATGGGTTAAAGATTTTGGTTTACTTTGAACAGTAGATTTTTTCAAAAAATCATAGCTATTATACGAGAGGATAAAAAAAATGTTATCTTATACGTTTATGGAAAGTTTTTTCTGAGCTGTTTCAAATGCTGAAAAAGGTTTTTTAAGAAATTCAAAAGTTAATCTTTTAGTTTTGAAAAACAAAAATATTTTTAACCATTTGTTAAAAAGTACTCTTTTTATAGCCCTATAAAATAAAGTATAAGATGTATACTTTTAATAATTGAAATGAAACAAATGTATCTGTATCTTTTGATCCACATTCTTTATCCGTGTTAGATCTATTTTAGAACTTTATATGCCGTCTAAAATTAAGAAGTTATTGATATTTTTGAAATGTGAAAAAAGTTTTTGTGGTATTAAATTGTAATAATACAATGTATAACATTCATAAAATGAAAAGCTTTATGGAGAAGCAGAGTGTCCATTTAAATGAGCTCAAAAGTTTTACCTTTAGTTTTGCAGCAATTTTTAAATTTCATTCAGGTTTTTAAAAAAAGACAAATTCTTTTAATTATTATAGTATCACTTGGCCATCACATATTTTACATACTAATTTTATGCAACTGAAGCAAATAACAGTAACAGATTTAAAAAAAGGTATAATTTTTTGGTAATGTGAATTGCGTGCACGTCAATGTTTATTCATGGATACAGTAGCATTTATGAAGCGTGCGTGCAGCATTGCAGACATCACAGCTCAAACTCGGCATTAAATTTGCAGCTGTTCATTAAAGTAATAGTGCAGGATGCAGCTCATAACGATGCCCAAGGCATCCTGGACATCATACAACCATTACTCATTATGTCATTCACCTGTTTGAGCTTCTTATCAAGATTAATGATTTATTTTTATCTTTCATGAATTTATCTATTAAACGAAGGAACTGCATTTTTCAGAGATGAGACAACGCGACATCATTACTACTTGCAATTGCGTGACAACGTCGTCAGACATGGAGGTGGGGTGGAGAGCTTGCATCCCGACCATCCACTCCACGAAACGTCACTCTCGACGCCGCTGCTCGCCTTGGCGGGACTTGCCCTTCAGGTTGACCTTGGCGATTACTCCGAAGAACGTCACAGACCACATGCAGGAACTGTGGGCTACTGTAAACCCACTGATTACTTGCCACCTCACGTGAGTTCCTTTTCAAATTTATGCAACTTTTGCCTTTCGTCCCCCTGCATTATTTCGCAATAAATATTTTTAATTTATACAAAAATTACAGGTTTGACAACTTACAGTCTGCATGCATTCTTGAACATAAATTTACATTCATGTCAGTGAGGTCCTTTTTTGTTGTATCAAAACTGGAATTTCTGCCGAAATAGAATACTTGGGATAAAAGAAAATAAAGCTTTTGAAAAGTGATCTCTTTTTATTGGTGCAGGGTTTTTTTCAATTATAAAATTTATTCATTTTAGATGTGCGTCGAATCAGACGTTCTCAATGTGCTCGCGGCACAGCATAGGAATAATCGTGGACTGTCAAGGGAAGAGGCAGAGTTGCAATACATCCGGGAGGCGGTGCTCCTGGAGGCGCCGCTTAACGCACACTTATACCGCTTGCGACGCAGCAAAAATGAAGTTGGACCTGGACGAATCCTGCTGGCGATTTGCGCCCGCGGAGTGCGGGTCTACACCGAGGAAGCAACCCCCCGAGTTTTCACCTGGAATAACATTGGCAAACTCTGTTTCGATGTGAGTTCCAAACTATTTTTTACTTATATTTTTAAATATCATCTGAAATTTAAATTGTCATTTTCGATCACTACAATTGTTGATAATTTATTTTCTTTTTAGCGTAAAAAATTCGAAATCCGAGCTGTCGATCAACCCGATAAACTCACACTCTACAGTGGATGCGATGACAAGAGCAAACTTCTTCTTGGCCTCTGCAGGGACACTCACCAGTTTTCAATGGCCATAGCACCCAGGCTTAACGAAGCCAGAAAAAGAGAGGAGGAAGGTACGAATGAAAAAATATAGTGAAGCTTGCACTTACTATTTTTTAACTCATTAACGCCCAAGTGTCAAAATTTTTTTACTGAAGTTCAAGGTAAGAATATTTATCTTAAGCGATTAGATTTTTGAGAATGGTTTCGTACTAAGGGGGTATTGAGGTCCGCTCTTTCAGAATTCGGGGTCAAGAAAGCATTTTGATTTTCAGGGTTGCCACGCAACCTGGAAATGTCAGGGAATTTTATAAACCTTGAAAAACCTGGAAAATTGAATTTTGATCGGAATTCTGGAAAATTGTTGTTTTCTAAAGTTATTGTACTTATTGTGATAAAAAAATATTCAGTTTCTAGAATTCATAAGAAAATTCTGAATTTTTGTATTTTTTTAATTTACCTTATAAACTATGAAATTATCACGAATTCTAATACAAAACCTTCAATTTTTTCTATTTCAGACAATAATTTCTTTTTAAAAAACTTAATTCTCAAAGAACTATAGGGTGTCTAACGGTCAAAGAAGTCAGGCAAGTCATGGAAAAGTCGGAAATTTTTTGTTAATTAAACATTTTTTTAATCTAAAAACATTTAAAAGATTTTTATTACCATTTGTTTCTATCATTAGATATTAATTTATTGTTAAATATGCCAGTTACCATATTTTTGTCCCCAGAGAGCAAAAATAAAATTAGTAAAAAGTCAAGAAAAGTCAGGGAATTTTTTTCTCAATTATTGTTGTGTTAGACACCCTGAACTATCATAGCATTATTACTTACAAATTATTTAAGGAATAATTTTACTTAAATATTTCAAAATTAATTCGATTTTAAAAGAGTTACATTTTTAAAAAAAAAATTGAAACTCAGGGAATTTGTTGTTCTATCAAGTAGAAATGTGCCCCAAACAATATTTTTGATTTTTTCGAAAATTTGGATAAAAATATAAAATAATTATTCGGTCATCTTTAATTATTAAAATTATAAAAATTTTTGAGTATCTAATAATTTATAGAGTGAATTAGAAGATTCTTTAGGGTCAGGGAAAAAGTAAAAAATTTGTTTGGAAATCAGTGAAAATTCAGGGAAAAAGAGAATTACATTTTTGTTGCAACCATGATTAGTAATAGATAAATATAATAATGCGGAAGACAATATTATATGAAAGTTCCGTATAAGTATAGTTTTAACTTGGTAAACCTGGAAAAGTCAGTGAATTTCAAATTAGTAAAAGCGTGGTCATATTGTCCGCCATATTGGATTCGCCATTTTTAGTTTGAATATTGATGACACATTTGCTACTTACCAATTATTTTGCACTGACTTTTCTGACATTTTGGATCTGCCATCTTGAATTCTTAAGTTCGAAAGTACAACTATTTTATCCACCTTTCGCCTGCATGAGAAAGAGCGGACCTCAATACACCACATTCTCAAAAGTCTTATCGTTTAGAATAAAGATTCTTACCTTGAACTTCAGTCAAACATTTTTGACATTTGAGTATTAATGGATTAAGCGAACAACAGATTAATTCTTTTAAATTTCAATATTTGCAGAGCGTAAATTTTTAAGAGATTGCTACATGTATCCTGCGCGTTGTAAACTCAGCATGACAACTCGCAATGCTCGAGGAGATCAAAGAATATCAGTGATCTCAAGTACTTCGTCAAACACAACTTCAGGAATAGTTAGCGATCGAGTTCACAGCGAAGATGAACCTGACACGGCACCTGCGTCTACCGAGTGCCTTCCACACCTCACCGAATCTTTCGGACATAATGGAAATTCTCAAAACAGTATTGGAGATAATAATTCTAGACCTCCGTCACCAGTTTCTGCTGCCGATGGTTTGTTTCAACTTTTTGTTTTTAATTACATATAAAAAATGTTGTGTTGCAAAAAATAAAAAAGTAAAATCATTTTATATCGAACCTATCCTAACTTGTTCTTCTTGAGAAACTGGAGAAATGGTATGTATTAAATTACTCAAACACCCCCAAAATTTCATTTTAGAGATAAAAAACAGTTTTTTTAAGTTAATGCATAAAATAGCTTGTAACATTGTCATTTTTGGTCTAAACTCAATAATTTTTTTTAAATTATAGAAAGTGAATTTATCATTCGGCAGTTAAATATTAAGAAGAAAGAAGCTATCAATTATCCGAATAAAATTTTTACTAAATAAATTAAATATCTTAAATAAATCTCTATAAGCTCTTAGATTTCATATGTATCGACAGCACAGCTGCCCGAATACAGAAACCTGCTTAATCTGAAAAATATTTTCGAAATTAATTAATAATTTCAAAATGATCAAAGAATCCAGAAAAAACGGTAGCATGGTGGGATACGAGCCCACGACCTTTCTATTGCCGGTAGACTGCTCTGACCACTGAGCTACATGCACCCCGAGATTCTCCGAATTCTTTGACATATACTATCCCTTGATTTTTTTAAAGCTATAGAAAAGGGCTTTTTAATTAATTTTCAACAATTAATTTCAGTGAAGTTGACAAAATCAAAAATGACTAAGTTACAAACTATTTTATGTATATTAACGGCAAAAAACGGGTTTTTACCTCTGAAATGAAAATTTGGGGGTGTTTGAGTACCATTTTTTTAGTTTTTCAAGACGAGCAAGTTAGGATTGGTCCGATTTAAAATTTTATTTTACTTATATTTATATTTAATATATATATATATATATATATATATATTTAAAGTGTTATTCGTTAAATAAAATGTGTTTTAACGAATAAATTATTCATTATTATGTTCCTCAGAAGTCGACGGGAACAATACTTCCACTACAATGAGATTAACATCAAATGCTGTTACTACTGAAGGATCTCAGTGCAGTAGTAGCTGTAGCACTGTCGTCGTTGTGAGTGCCCTTCCAAATGGTCCGTCTCGAATACGACGAACATCGGCTAGTTCAAGTTTAGAACTTGGATACTCTCACACTGCACAAAATTCAGCCGTTTCTTCTGAAACTGCTAATTTTCCGGGAGTCATTTACGACAGATGTAAAAAAGTCGTTAAATATGCAGGTATATACTTTTCTTCAAAAATACATTATCAAAATTTGTAGAAAAAGATTATTATTTACAATATAATTTACAGGAACAGACATAGGAAGTGAAACAAGCGGAGTTTATACATTACGAAGTAGTGAAATGCAAGATGAGACGATTGCAGATCTCTATTCTCCGAATGGAGACGCCCATGAGTCGTCGGCAGCTAGTGACATATGTGCCTTAAGTTCTGTTCAATCAACTACAGATGAAGCTTCTGTTACTTCAGGATTCTACACGATTCATAGTGGTCTTAGATCGGAAAGTAGTGACATTTATACTGAAGAAGTCGCGGTAGAAGGAACAGAGCCCATCTACAGCATTTGTAAAGGAGATGAGGATGTAGACGTTTCGGGCTTAGCAAATTCTCTTGGCGAACAACTTGAAAATGATTCAAGATCTCGTAGTAATAGTATTCTTAGCGCTGGTAGTTTTAGAGGAGATGGAAGTGATCCGCCTGGTGCTGGGCCTTTGCTTTCCGCCGATGAACTCTCAGACTTGATAGTTGGTCGCTATCCGCCCAGGAAGACGATCAGCAACTCAATGGATTCTGACTGTGACTACGTGACAATGCCTCCACCACCTCCGCCTCCAAGAACTGACAGTGATAGACTCTTACCACCTCCACCTCCGTACCCTGTTACCACCATAGATTACGCTACGATTTCTTCTCCGAGAACAAAAGTTCCAGCAGTTGATAGAGAACCTCCACCTCCTCCTCCTCCTTATAATGCCGTTAGAAGTGATTTCCTACCTCTTCCCGCTAGAAAAGTCGATCCTCCATCACCTCCACCCTACACTTCTCCCAGAGAAAGAATAAAGATTCCTCCACCCACTCCTCCTAGAAATGACGCTATAACCCCGAGGGAACCACCGCCACCTCCGCCTTATCCAGAAATTGCTGTGTCAAGGCAAGACACTTTGTCATCTTTGTTTTCCAGTGGAATCGATGATGTTACGACAAGCATGTCAAACTTGTCCACCCCAGTGTCTCAATCTGTCGTGAGGGACAAATTGATAACGAACGGCGAACCTCCTCTGAGCATTGCACCAAAACCACCCCCTAGGATACAGCCACCAACTTATCCCGGTGACAAAATGAAACCAACTCCGGTTCATGCGCCAGTTGCAGCACTGGTCGTTGGTCCAAACAACTATCTCGACGTCCACGCTTCACGCGGAGCTCCTGTTTTACTTCCGTACTTAACACCACCACCCCCTCCACCGATGGTTCATCCACGACAACCTCCGCCTCCGCCCCCGAGTCTCGCTACCGTTTACACGAGCCAAGTTGCTCGATCTCAGATTGAACAGTATAAACAACAGTTATACTCGGACGTTGACTACGTTATGTTTCCTTTGAAAGATCCAGCAGTTTCCAAGCAGGAATACATAGACGCAAAGCAAGGATCACTAATGGCAGCAATGGCGGCTTATCCACCGCCTCCTTATCCAGCCATGAACAATAAGTCGTCTGTTGTTTATCGCAGCACTCCTTATCTGCCTGGGTCGTCCTACTCGTCGTCCTCGAAGTATGCGTCAAATCAAAATCTCAGCGACAACAGTTCAAGTAATTTCTTAGCTCATGGAAACTTGAGTAGTCACTACACTGCCAGCACCAGTTCACTGTACAGTGGTGCAACATTCTCTTCAGGAGGAAGTCACAGTTTGAGGAGAGAACCTCCTGCTCCTACACATCCCAACAGTTTACAAACCTTCTCGAGGACGAGGAGCGATGAAAATATTTTAAAATCGTTTGATGTTCCGTTGAGTAACAGACTACAGTCTATATCGCAGACCAAGCATCGTAGACTGCCGCCGCCTCCACCACCGCCACCTTATGAGATTCAGGTCAGTATAAGATATTACTTTATGTGGAGAAAGTTTTTCATTATTGTAGCGATTAATTTAGTATTTAAAAGCAAAAAAGGTCAATAATTGCGTTCTGCTTAATAAGTATGTATTTATGTAAGAAAGAAAAACGAAGACATTCAGACAAAGATTCGTTTAATATTACTCCAACCTTTCGAAATCCACAGATTTTCTCCTCAGAGAGTCTAATATATTCAACAAAAGCCAATTAAAATAAAAAGATGTTAGTTCACAATAAGAAATAAAATAATCAAAATATTTTACAAAAAAACGTAAAATAAAATAAAACAATCGAAATATTGTACAAAAAACGTAAAATAAAATAAAACATGAAATAATAAGATACAGAAATCGAAATATTAACAGTAGTAAGTAAAAACAAAAATAAAAACGCAATTAACGCAAATTAAAAAAAGTACGTAAAACAAAAATAATAATATAAGTACAAAAATTACAATCTTGACAATTTAGCAACAGTCAGAACTTAAATTTGTCATAAATAAATTAAAATGCTTCAGAAAATAAAAATATTACACCCATACATTGGAGCCATACAGAATCTGGAGTCAAAATTTAAAATAAGTTAAAAATAAAAATATAAAACAAAATTCAATTAAAAGTTAATAAAAATAAACTCTCTGAGCAAAAGGATATCCCAGGGATATCCCGCGGGATATTGAGATATCCCAAGGAGATCCCTGGGATATTTGTGACATCTCAGAGATATCCCTGGGATATCCAAATTTCCATCCCATGGAAGATCTCCCATGGGATATGCCACGTGAGAAATAGTAATATGTTGAAAAATAATTAGAGCTTTAAAGAGTTGAAAAACCATTATTAAATTATAACCAGAATGAGAAAAAAATTATTTAAAAAATAAAAGATTATTTGACTAATATCAAAGTTATTTCTTTGTGATTTAATAAACATTAGTTGAATTCAATAAAATGTCTTTTTAACGCTAAACATTTATTGTGTGTGGGTTTAAACTAATTTTGGTCAATTCATTTTGTCTATTACTGATAAATATTTATTGGTTAAAGATATTTACAAGAAACTAAAAAAATGTGAAAGTTAAACATATTAAACAGCAACACTTATAATCACACACTGCAAAACACACGCTTCTGATCTAATGACAGGAGAGGTTTTCTACAGTTTCCCTCTCCACTGGCGAGAAAACCCATTAGACGGGTGGTCCAGGCAAATGCGAGTACTCCTAATTTTCAAGTCGCTCTGTAGGCGCAAAACTTAGTATTAGGAAATGTATAATAAGAAATATTATGTAAGAGAAAATGTAAACACACTTGTATAGCTAGATAAGCTTAAGACGGGTGTATAAACCAAACAAATAAAAATAAAATATTTAAAATATTTAAATTCTTATAAAGAGTTTTATCAAAATTTTTAATAATAATTTAATTCTTTTGTGAACTGTTATTAATTAATTATGAAACTAATTGAATTTCTGAGAAGAATTTTATTAAAATCTTTATAAATCCTAATTAAATTTTTTTGAATTTGTTTTCAAATAATGGAGTTTCTTTAATAATTTTAATTTAAAAAAGGATTCATAAAGTTATTTGAATTTTCTCATTACAATAAATAATTTAATTACTAATATTATTCAATTAATGTTAAAATATTCTTTTTAGAACAATGAATTTAATTATTATCTAATACTTAATAAATAAAAGTTTTATAAATTTTTTTTTTATTTTCTTCGCAATAATTCAGTTATTTTTATAAATAATAACATTTTTTTTTAAAAAATTCAATTATTTTCATGAATAATAAAACTCATCATAGATATAAATTTTTTTAATACAATTTTAATTGAATTTCTCGAAAAAATTAATTACTCCTGAAAATTTTATTAAAATTCCTCAAAAAAATTCAATTTTGTTGATAAAATTCTTTATGATAATTCAATTTCGAGAAACATTCATTTATTCAATAAATTATTTATTTTTGTATTTGAATAATTGAATTCTCGTAGAATTTTTCAATAAAAATTGATTTAAAAATGAATATTAGTTAAAATTTTAGATATTATTGAATATTAAAAGCATTATGACATGAATTTTTAAAAATAATTTATAATTGAATTCTTTTGAAGAATTTTAATCAAATTTTTGAAAATAATTACATTTTTCGAAGAATTTACTTAAAATTGTATAAAAAACAATTGAAATCCTGTGAAGAATCTTATTTATTTAATGAAAGTAATTGAATTCTTGCAATGAATTATTTCAAATTTTTATTTAAATAATTGAAATAATGTAAAGAATCTTATTATTTATGAAAATAATTAAATTCCTGCAACGAATTTTATTACATTTTTTTTTTCAATAATTGAATTCTTTTAAGAACTTTTATTAAAATAGTACATTCTGAAAATATTTGAATTTCAACGAAGAATTTCATTATATTCGTGAAATGTAATTAAACTCTTGCAAAAGAATTTAAGAGAATAATTCCATTTTTCTAGGAATTTATTTTCAATTGTATTATAAATAATTGAAATCCTCAGAAAAATTTAATAATTTATGGAAATAATGGAATTCTTATTACAACGAATTTTATTTAAATAATTAAATTCTTTTAAGAACTTTTATTAAAATAGTAAATTTTTAAATTTCAGCGAAGAATTTCATTATTTGTAAAATGTAATTTAATTCTTGCAAACAATTTTTGAAGATAATTTCATTTTTCGAGAAATTTATTTAAAATTGTATTAAAAATAATTGAAATCCTGTAAAGAATTTTATTATTTATGAAAATAATTGAATTCTTGCAACGAATTTTATTATAATGTTTGTAAATAATTTAACTTTTTTGAAATATTTTATGGAAATTTAAATTTTAATAAAAGACGAAGATATCAATCACTCCGAGTCGAAGACTCGGAGTGATTGATATCTTAATGTTTTATAATAATATTCTTATAAGTTGTTGAATTTTAAAAATGTTTGGAATTGAATATTTTGAAGAATTTTAATTTCTATGGGAAAATAATAATTAAATGTTTATTCAAAAATTTAGTTATTGATGTTTGCGAATAATTTTACAATTTAAGAAATTCGTAAGTAAATGTAATAGAATATTTTTTTTATCTAATAATTTTTTAAGTATGAATCAGAATATTCTTTAGAGTCAGGGATAAACAAAATTCTTTTTTCAAATGTTAATATTCTTGACGTATTTACAAATTTTATTGTGCAAAATTTATCAATAAACCAGCAAATGTTATGAACGGAACGATTTACTATTATTACAATGCAAATAACAAAATATAAATGTTCATAAATTTCAATTACTTTCAAAATCTTCGATTAAAATTATTATTAAAGAAACTCCATTATTTGAAAAAAAATTCAAATGAATTTAATTAGGATTTTCAAAGATTTTAATAAAATTCTTCTCACACGGAGAAAAATGGATAGTTAAAAGTAGATAGTTAGAAAATATATAATCAAATTTATTATCTGTATAGTCAGAAATATTATCTTCCTGAAATATTATATATTCCCGTTTAGTATATCTAGATAATCAAATTTATTATCCTGGATAGTCAACTTGCCGAGCGCTTACGCAGAAGTTTGATTACCGATCACACGCAAGAAAAACGGCACTGCCTGTTTCAAATGACATAAAATTGGTAAAAATTCATTTTCTAACAAATTTTTCTCTGTTCACAGGCACTTTTTACAGAATCTGACAACGTACATTTGTCACAAATGTTGTTAATTGTCTGAATTCAAAAGATTTTGTTAATCCATGCAGAAACGCGGTTGCAGGATTGGGAATAAAAAAGTAATGTAATGGCAGGCCACAAGACGTATGTTACAGCCATTTTGACAGTAGAGGGCAGAAGCATGCAGGGAGCGCGTAAAGGCTCAGCTGTCAAAATGATTCGCATTACATTGCTATGGTAATTCCAATCCTGCAACCGCGTTTCTACATGGATTGACAAAATCTTTTCAATTCAGACAATTAAAAACATTTGTGACAAATGTACGTTGTCAGATTTTGTAAAAAGTGCCTGTGAACAGAGGGAAATTTGTTAGAAAATGAATGTTTACCAATTACACGTCATTTAAACCGGTCAGTGCCGTATTTGTTGGGTGATAACTGTTGGTCGCACATTATCGAGAAATTTAAGAGACCATTGAACACCGCTAAGTAGTTTTATATTATTCGAAATTTAAAAGCATTGTCAAGTTTTTTTATACTGAATTTCAGATATAATATTGCTTAAAAAATATTGTTGAAAAATATATAAAACTTACAACTTACACCTTTAAACCTGTCAAAAGAATTTAAACATTTCAAGGGTATCGTTAAATTAATGTATTTTGTTCTTTAAAATTTTCAGATTTTCCATAAAAAATTGTTTATCTAGGAAAAATGTTCAGTAATTTCTAAAAAAATTAACTTTTATCATTAAATATTTCTTATTGATCAATTTAGATATGTAGGTATAAACACAGCAACTTGCGTTTATTATCTAGGATAGTCAAATGTGAATATCTTGGATAATGGCAGTTAGTATGTAAGTTTGATTATCCCAAGATACTAAATTTGAATATCTAGATGGTTGTCCTATAGTTGAGTATCCAAGATCATCACCCATGATTATCTATACAATAAATTTGACTATCCATTTTTCTCCGTGCAGAAATTCAATAAGTTTCATAATTAATTAATAACATTTCACAAAAGAATTAAATTATTATTAGAAATTAAAATAAAACTCTTAATAAGAATTTAAATATTTAAAATATTATTCTAATTAAATTTTGCGTAGGTAAGAATAAACTTTTTTAAAAGATTTTATTTTAATTTTTCGCAAAAAATTTAATTATTTTGAAAATTTTGGATTCATTTTTTTGTAAAAATTAAATTATTTCAGGTTAAAAATTATAAAATTAAGTAAGAAATAACGCATAAGGAATATTTTTAATTGACAAAAA